CCCCCCCCCCCCCCCGCCCCTCTCTAATATGGTTTTATAGTCGAACAACTGAGGCACGTGCAACATGAGTAAGCCTTTTCTCTCTCATCCCAGCGCCAATCGCTTCGCTCCCGATGTTTGCACTTTTGAGATGATTCCGTCCTGTGTTGAATCAATAGTATGTGAGCGCTGTGGATTCGGGGGTGGGCAGTACCTGACGGCTGATTAGTTCATGCACGTAGATACATGCGCAACGGTAGTGAATCGGGGGTCTCGCGTCACAGGGAGGCGTCGGTTCATCCCCTCCGGCTTTCGGTGTGCACCACTGCTCGTACGGTCACCCCGAACGTCGTCAAGACTCGAGGGTCACTGTTGGAGGCCGGACGCGTGGCAAGACCCCCGTGGTACCGTTCTTGCGCGAGAGCATCGAGTACTGCTGTAGCGCGAAAGCGAACAGTTGCGATGTTCCACCGCCGGGAGTATGGAGGAGTTCCGCCGACACACTGGACTCACCCCGAAGTCGGGCAGCAGCCAACCCACTTCACCGCATGCGCATGTCCTGCGATACGATACCGCTTGCTGTTGCAGGGCGTGGGCGGTATCGCCGGGGTGGACGCGGCCGACGAGGAGGATCTGGTGGTGGCCATGAAGAACGCTCTCGGCCTTTCGAAGGAAGGAGGCGCAAAGGGTGAGCCACTGTAGGTGGAGCTTTGTCGTGGTCGTGGTCGTGGTCGTGGTCGTCGTAGTTTTCCTGGTTGTTGTTGTTGTCGTCGTAAGTGGTGGTGATTTTGTTCTTTTTTTTTTTTATTGAGTGTTTCGTCGGAGTGTTATGAACGGTCGAGGAGAGGACCCTCAAGGCACACCGTCTCTTAGGCGTTTGGTTGCATCCCCGCCCCCTCCCCCCCCATGTCCACAGCTCGTATTTTTCTTAAAGAGACGGCATATTGCAACGATGGCTGACAGCACTCTCGCATGTGTAGTCCACTCGACACCAAGAAACAGTGCCGCCTGCTCTTGCTGCCGCTGTTCGCCGTGGTGGCCTGAGTTCAGCGTGCATTTTTCTATTCGGTCTCTCTTGGGATCACGTCCCGAAAACAAACCTCGTCTTTGGGATAACACCTATTATTTCTAGACAATATCCAGTAGACTATTGTACCCGTTCGACATATAACCACAATTATTTTTTTCTGCCTTGCCTGCTGTTGCAGGCGAGGGCGAGGGACCGCCCGAGGACAACGAGCTGGCGGGCCTGCTGGGCGATCTTGGGGTGGACGCTTACACACACGACCAGCTCGTGGCCAAGGACGAAGGAGAAGAGGTGAGGGGAGCTATGATTGTTGTTGTTGTTGTTGTTATTGTTGTTATTGTTGTTGGTTGATGTAGTTGCTGTTGTTGCTGTCGTTGTCGTTGTCGTTGTCGACGTCAAAGACCATTTCGCCGTTGGCGTTGGGCGTTGTTAGAGTTGCCCCCGTGGGACCATACACGGCATTAACTTGGACGAGTTACGAGCTTTCAGGTGTTCGAGACGCCATATGTCGTGGTCTGTGATCACCCGACCCACACGTACAGTCGAGACCCCCGATGACCAGTGCTGCTTCGAACAGCCTCCCATACGATAAGAATGATGACGTCATCCAGACGCAACGCGACGGTGCTGTACGCGCTGCTAGTGCGGCCATCCGCAAAAGCGTACCGCTCGCCTTCGCGAAAAGCGGAGCGCGGGCGAAGCACACAACCTTGGTTTCCACCACCGTCATCCTCATCTTCCGAAAGTGACAAGCTGTTCTCCTTCGATCCCAGCTTGCCCCCCACCATCGGGTGTAACCTCCCCCCCCGCCCGCGCGCGCGTGCCGTCTGCGATCGTGTGTTGCCGCAGGAACTGGCAGAAGAGAGCTGTGGCGTCGCGGAGCTGACACTATCGCCGCTTCCTTCTGGTGGCGCGAGGAACGCCATGGAGGAGAAAATCGCAATGCCGCGCAGCGGTGGCGGTGGCGGTGGCGGTGGCGGCGGCGGCGGCGGCGGCGGCGGTGGCGGTGTGCTTGTCCCAAGCGCCGGTCGCGAGAGAATGAGCGCTGCAAGCGCTACCGGGGGCGTTGTAGGTAGGGGCCAAGGTCTGGGTCCGAAAGGACCGAGCGTTAGCGGCGGTAGCGGTAAGGCACCGGCGACGGCGGCGGCGGTAGTTGAGATCGAAGACGGGACGGGGGGGCCACCCGGCGGGGGGCAACCGCAGCAGCAGGAGCCCGCCAAGAAGAGGCGGAATCTCGCGAGTCTCGGGTGGGGCAAGGGCCGGGCCGGGGGAGGGGGTGGTTCCGGTGCGCGGGTTGAGCTGTTCATGCCGCAGTACGGATCGGGCGGGGGGGGAAGGAAGTGAAGGGTGGTTGGTTGTGTCTTGGTCTGTGGAACGACTCTTCCCGTGCTATGTAGTCAGTCTAGTTTGTTTTGTGTGGTTTGCCGGTATCGTCGTTTTGTGGGTGCCGTGTGGTTGGAGGAAAAAAGCCGCGGACAGTCGTTGTGAATATGTGCTCCGTTTGTTTGTTCCAACGGTGCAACCAACCCTGATGGTGGGTGCCCTGACTTGGAGGCAATGCCTCAATTGTTGGGGACCACAATGCGCCACCAGCAACAAGCTTTTTTGGGCTTGCCACAAGTTTCGGGCTGCTACGTAACTACCTGGACGACGACCTTCACGAACGTGTGCTTGTTGACGTATTATTCGTAATAGTCGTGGGTCGTGGCTTGGGGCTACCCATGCTATTATAGCTCTGTTTGTTGGTTCGCTTACGTATGGCACTCTTTCTCTCTCCATCATTCTGGCTCTGTAGTACCATGTTGGCACGTGTCGCCTCTCACATTGTTGTAGAGCACAGAGTCATCCCCGTTGGGGCATGCGACGACGTGAACTCTTGTCGACTCGTCCTGGTCCTCCCAGGGAGTTCAGGTACTTTGGTAACAACAGCATCTGCCGTGTACACGGACGGGACGACGATGTCGATGAACGAACGGCATCTAAAAATGTAAATTTCCACGCGCGGGCCAAGAGCGGGGCTTGCGTCAGAAAAGGTCGCTCGCGAACTTAGGCCGAATTCTTTGGTGAACTAGAGCTTTGCTCTTGTGGTTGACATCTGTCGCCATCGTCTGCACGGAACTCATAAAAAGCATGCTTCGGTATGCATGGTACTCGTACAGACATTTTTTTTACCCAGGCCGACTCCATGTGAGCTGCCGCTAATCTAATAGCGCCCATGTTTTCGATCTTTGCCTAACCAAACGCGGACACGAAGGACAGCGGTAGCTGTACAGTCATATCTACTCGTTGAGCAGGCTGCTGGCTTCGCCGCGGATCTACAATTCTGTCTTGTTGCTGTAGCATACTACAGGGGATGTATTGTAAAATGTAAGTTATCTATACAGATGTTTTTGTACTTAGCACCAGCTGGCATCACTGGTATAAATCATCAGTGTATAGACTTTAAAAGACTCGAAATAAGTCCAGCACCCAGCCGGTTTCCCTTCACTCACTGAAAAGACTCCACCACATCTCGTTCGACTGTGGGTATATCTCGAATGGGTAGTCTTTCTCTGTGTGTTTATTAATACTTGTAGATGTCGTAGACCCACCGTAGATCTCGTAGATCTACGACTACGAAAGAGGGCGTCTGTCGTCTGGGGGCTGTTCAGCAAACTCGCGGGGCACACAGCACACTTGCTGCTGTGCTACATCATCGCTCCACGGGGCATCATGTCCGGTGTCGCCAGTCGCTCGACAGGAAACTCGTTGCTGAGAGTTTCTCAGGCCTGCGAGACGCTCCTATCTGGCTTCAACAGCGGCAAGGCAGCGGCGGTTGGCAGTTGCGTGGTCTCGAGAAAACACGCCGTCACGTTGAGCGAGCGGGATACTACGCGGGCCGGTGATGTCGACAAAGGCCCCGAGGGAGAAGCGCGTCGTATGGGGCCAAGCGACCACCTTTTACCGGTGCGAGGGATGCACATGGTTTGGTGTCAAGTGAAATGTCCACCTTGGAGTTTTGAATCCGCAGGTACACCTTGTTGCACATACATAAGCGTCAACTTCATCGGAGCAAAGTATATAGGACCGCAGGTACCGGTAGTTGAAGTGTGTTGTGCTGCTACAGCAGTAGCCTCTGCGCTGCACTCGGATCCATTTTAGAAGCTGCAGTCTTTGCTGTTGCCTGTCCCCGTCGGACCCGCCCGTTTGTGAGTGCCGGATAGGCTGTAAGCCTTAGTCTGGGTGCGCAGTGCACTGCAGGGGAGATGTGTAGTCTAGGAATGCACACAACGCGACAGGGGTTGGAAGAACGGTGGCCCCAGCATGTGCATACACCGATCCTGCTCCATTCGAGTCCCCCATCCCAGGCGACACGCCAGACTCCTCGATCCCTGCTGGTTGTACACATCGGCTGTCGAGACATGTCCTTGCGAAAGCTCTTTCTGAGCTATCTGGTTAATCCGGGTGGAAACTCGTCACGGCACGCAGGAAAGTGCACCAGCTGCAGTGTCACACGTCAAATCCGTTGGGGGGGAGGGCTGTAGACTACGCTGCAAAGACTATTGTTGTTTATACAGTAGTACCCTGCAGGGAGGGCTCGAGCACCCAACCTACCCACATCTCCGAAAACAACCCGCTTTTTGACCGGCCAAACTTCGACTTCGAACACACAAAATCATCGCGATCGGTTGCTTTGAGGCCGCCTGCTGCTGGCTTCTCGGCACGCGGCGCCCCTCCTACATACCAACATCAGCAGGCTCGAGAGATTTGCTTCGGATGCAGTTGGTTGTGGGCGGCAATCTGGAGGGGTCCCACAACCCCAGACAACAGCGGGGAAACAATACTGGCAAACGGCAGCAACCACCCGCGGAAACACAGCGGATGGAGCCCAACACGACAAGAAGAGCACAGACCCCCAACAACTAGGACGCGAGGGAGCGAACGGCGGGGGGCACCCATCAGGTCCCCGCGTTTTACGTTGTGCTACTAAATAAATGCCCCCCGGACACAAGGCTGTCCTCATGACGTTCCACCCCACGTCTCCCAACCATTTCGTTTCGTCCCACCCCTGTTTCCAATCCCCCCCCCGCTCCGCCTTTGAAAACATTTTTGAGCCACGTTTTTTAGGCAAAGTAGGAAGGAACGATTGGCCATCCGTACAATGCTCCGTCCGTCCTCTCGAGGGCGCGTGGTCAAACACATGCAAGACAAGAGTACGCCCCCCCCCCTCCCTCCTTCCCCCAGCTCGAGTCCGCGATGGCGAATCGACGAGCGAGGCCGAGCCTCCTCCTCCCCGCCTGGCGGGCCGTTGGCTTCGCGGTGGGGACGGGAGCGACGGCCCTGCTGCCGGCGGACGCGTCGGCTAAGGTCGGGGCCGCCATCAGCCGAGCGGTGTTGGAGCACTACGACGAGAATATCCGCGCCATGTACGACGCCAGGATAGTCGCCGAGGAGCACGAGGCGAGAACATAACGGGTGGTTGTGCTGCGCCGTTGCGGGGAAGGTGGTGGGAGAGAGATGAAGGTCAGGGGGGGGAGTGGGGCGTACTCTTATGTTTTGCGTGCCTTAGCGGTTACCAGTTAGACCACTGACCATGTGTCCTCGAGAGGACGGAGCATTGTTCCCACAGGACCGATCACCGATGGCCAATCGTTCCTTCCTACTTTGCCAAAGGTGGCTCAAAAATGTCTTGTATCTATCCCAACGACATCATTTCTACTGATATCACTTCCCGCCTTTTCAACCCACTTCCTATGCCCCAGTACAGCTAACGTCTTCTCCTGGGTCAGGGGGGTACTCATACCGTGCATGCCGTGGTCGTTAGACCATTTTCCTCAGGGGGGGATCGGGATCGTTCATGGGTGTGGGATGTTCTTCTAACGGTAAATAGTGTGGGATTGATCTAGAACTACCACTGCTGTAGCAGCGTTGTTGCTGGGTCTCGTCGATTGTTTTGGTAGTAATGGCCGGACAAAGCTCTTCTTACTTTTTTCGGGGGGCGATTCGCAAGACTACTGCTGTGCCCGACAACAACACTAAATAGACGCGAGAGCGGCTACATACGCGGGTGGTCTGCTTCTGTCCCTTGTGTGGCAAACCACCCTGTGCCAAGGCTAGTAAGAAAACGTTCAACCCAAGCTATCGCGCTACAAACTGAATGATTTCCTTCTTGAATGCGTGCCATCCACATTCACGACGTACCCCCTCAGGTGAAGGAGTTGTTCAAAGCTCAGAGGGACGAGCCGTCGCGCGCGGCGCTATCACCTGGTGCTGGCGCTGATGCTGGTGGCACGGGTGATGATGCAGATGATTCCGGGGAGAGCGCCGACGACGCCCGATCAATGGCTGTCGCTGGCACGCTAAAGTCGGCGCTTCGTGCGGCGTGTACCGTGACCGCAAAGATTTGATGTATAAACGTTTAGTTTGCCAATAGTTAACGCGGAATATTGAGCGGGATTTGTTCACAGTTTTATGGGCCAACCCTTGTTTTGTGTGAGACCAGAGTCTGGCGCAGTCTTGTCAAATATTTTTCAGACACTAGTTCTCATATCATATTGTATTCACTGTAGGGATGGTCGTACCAAACGGCCGTTTTTTCGGACATTGTCGTAGGAATTCGTGTTTGGCGGCAAGATGAGGAAGCTGAGTAAGGACTGGCCGGTGACCTGGATATCATTACGTTCGTGGTCATGGATACTACACAAAGGTGGGCATGCTCGTCCGATCACCAGAGAGCACTAGACTCTATCAAGTCGTGGGTGTGAATGGGACATGGGTGCTAAGACTGAGGGTGTCCATGGCTCTGTGATCGGACGAGCATGCCCACCTTTTGCTTAATTTCCATGCTGCTTCTATGCGGGGCAGCGCTGTGCGAGCCCTCTCCTAGCACTAGCGAACCGACAGGTCAGGTTTACTTGAGAGAGAAGGCAAAGCGATCCTCGCAACTTGCTGACATACGCCGTGCTGCAGGCGCCGACAAAACTGAAAAAGTGCACTTCGAGAGTTTCGCACGACAAAACGCTTTCTTACCGCATAATAACTAGCACGTGTCTGTGCGGAGGGCAATTCATCCTCGAGTTGACGCTGCTGCTGCTGCTGACGCTCTACCTGAGCGTACCAGCCACATGCGGTAGATGCTATTGCAGCGACTAGAGTACCCCACCACCAACAACATGGGGTTGCTAATGCTGGTAAATGTGTCGCCGAGGACAAAGAAAGGAAAGTCGTGGTCGGGGAAGACGTGTCCTCTCTTTCCTCTTGAAGCTGTGTTATTTTTTCGTCCGTTCGCAGATACATGTGTTTCGCTTGTGGTTGTAGTAAAAGAAACCGAGTCCACCAGCAGCCAGTGTCATTTCTCGTCCACCAATGCTTGGTTTGTTCCGGGTTATTTCGAGAAATAGTTTGTGTTTGCAGACCTCGCGACGGTCGTATGGAACCTCTACTTTTTTTTGTGCATCGCGTGGCCTGTCGCATATTCCTGCGTCCCTCCCCTCGCTCTCTATTGATGGCGGGAGTAAGCAAAGGAGCGGGCTTCAGACAAGGACGGGGGTATACCCTGGGATACCATGTATCATTGCACCTTGATACATGCTCTAAAATAGGCATGGCGTAGTCTGGTGCATGTTTACTCTCAAGGACTGTCCACCCTTACGACGACCTGGTTCCCAACGCGTGTGTACTCGTAGTCTGGCAGTGCGGAAATCGAGGGGTTGATATTCACGAAAAACGTAAGCTGCAGTAGTTGATCCCCCCTACCTAGGAGTTAGACGCTACAGCGCCACGGGCAAGTGGGTTCCGACCTGCTGTACTTGGCAACCCGCCCACCCGACACGTACATGAGGTATTGTAGCACAACCAACCATTGTTCAAATTTCAAATTTCAAATTTTTAAAATTTGAAACCGTCAAACTCGCTGTAGTCGAGGCAATCAATTACTGAATCACACACACATGTCGGTGCCAGACTTCCTGAACCACATTCTAGGTGTTTGATTGGCCTCTTTCCGACGGAAGCACCCCCAGGGAACGTTCCCATGAAAGAGAACACCCGTAAGGCTAGGGAGAGTACGTGCACAACAAGCGACGTCCACACAACATACAGCAGTGTACCGTAGACATATACTGTAGAAGTGCGTTGGATACCGTAGTAGGTACATACATACGCACATTATTTTCTCGAAAAAAATGTCGCCCGATTCTCGACCTCGACCAGCCGGAGACGACCGCGGTAAAGGGAAGAAGACGTCCAATCGCGAGTTGAGCCTGATGATGAAGACAATCGCATCCAGAGAAGTGAGAGAGAGCGGCAAAGCAGCGTCGGCCACTGTCGCCGCTCGTGTCGGAGGGATCGCCGAGCGCAGCCACCGGGTCGTTGGTCGTGCCCACGACGAGGAGAAGTTGAAAGTCGCGCGCTTACGGGCTACTCGACGAGAGGCCGTATACGGCGACGCCGTGAAGGAGGCGAATATGCGCGGCACGAACTACCGCAGCAAGGCCAAGCAAAAGAGAGACGAAACATTTCGCCCTCCGCGGTAAGTTTGTACTACTGCTGTACGCCAACGGACGATGCATGTTTCGTTCGGTTTGTATGCCTACATGTAGCACAACGACGAGGTACTGCGTCTTCCAGGTGAACACACTTGCAACAGTGTAGACCATTTACGTCTGTATGAAAACTTGGTATCATACACACAGTAGGGGTAGGGTTGCGTATTATGTATTCATGAGTTCGTGCGCCTAGACTATTGTATGTATTTTTATTATTAGCATCGACCGCGCTAACCGGCTGACCACTGAAAAGACGTCAGTCTTAGTGCGGTTGAAAACACAAAACACTTCTATCTGCCATGAACTGGGACCCCGTGAGGGGGCAGCATGGGGGAGGCTCAACTATCCTTCGGATCTATATGTATTTATGTGTACGTCGTTCCCTGCAATGTTGTCATTCACGACCTCTAATTCTTGCTGAACGGACACCCGGACCTTGACTCCAAGTTTACATGATGTTGTCTGCCAGAAGGTGTGTAGAGTTTCGCAGCGAGGCACCAAAGAAATATGGTCTGAAATAGGTACATTATACCGCTTACAACACGCCGAGCCTGTTGCCCTTGGAGGATAGCACTTAAAAGGAGGTCACGTTGTTATCTGTGGGGAAAGGGAACAACGTTATGACGTCTTCCGTGTTCATGTTGCGGATCTTTGGGTACTTCGTACTTGTATACCAGAAGAGACCGCGTGCATCCCCGCAGGAATGTTTGTTTATTGTTTGGCAGCAAAAATCTGGTAAAGACACGCACTTGCTTGCACCACAACACACAAAGCACCCACCGAATCGTGGTGCAACTAAAGGAAAGGCGAGGCAAGCGACAAGGCTTTACAGTACGTGCAGGAGCATGGTGGATGGAAAACCCTTTCAGAGGCTCAGGTGAAAACAAACTTACTCTTGTTGCACCGAAAAAGGTAGTAACCGGATAGAAAGCTATCGGGCGAACGTTTGCAAATGTACTGCCTATTGTACACTGAAAACGCGTCGTTTAGTTTGGGCACCAACAGTACAGTAGTGACGCCGACACCATGGGCGCTCGCTCTGCACATTCCGTGTGTTGCCATCCTCCGCACGAGCTGCCAGCTTAAGAAGAAAATACCCAAACACGAATGGAATCCTTTTACCCTGCGGACGCAAGTTGCACATCTTGCATCGTTATGCATAGCGCTTTACTGAAAAGTCACTCTCGACTCTGCACTCTGTAGATAGGACAAGCGCGCAAGTTTGTTGTTCAAAGCCTGCAGAAAAATTGCCGCCTTGCCATTGTGTAGTTCCGACCCCACCCCAAGAAAACAAAAAGCACGAACAGAAACGGGCACGCAATAGTTTGTGAAAACCCTACAGTTCCACACGTCCTCCCCCCCTCCCCCAGGGACCCTTGCACAACACTTCCTGCTCAATTCCCCCACCATAAAACATCTGCTCTAAAGCAACTTGCTGTCGTTTGGTTGAGCAACACCCTTGAGTGAGTTGTGATGTGTGCTATCAACATCTCATACCGTTCGTGAACACGTGTGCTTGCGTTCGAGGAGGCCGTGGAGGCTATAATGGACGAGGACGCTTGCCGAGAAACCCTACGGCGATCTAAGGTACCTCCGATTGAAGTTGCCGACGTACCTATACATACACGCAGCATCTCGTGTTGTAGGGTTTTCAGCTCGACATTACGAGGGCTGAAGTGCCCAGGTCGGAGAACAAAACATCCACCATTGGAAGTTCCAAGTCATCCCGAAGTTTGTGCTCTTGTAGGGTCACCCAGATTTAGTGGTCGAAACTGAAGATTTGGGCTGGTGTTGGGTCCTATGAACCTTTTGACGTGCGTGTGAAGGTGCCGTTTTCTTGGACAGCGTCCCGTGAATCGAAAGAGTATCCGTTCACAATGTATGTGTCTGGCTCCTGTGGTGGCTTCTTGCAACCACACCGCCCGCCCGCCT